ATTTTTTTTTTTTTCTAGAAACTTCACTAATAGAAGAAGCACTAGAATTTAATTGAGCTATTTTGATCTAGTCCATTATTAGCACTATGCCAAGAGAATTGTCAACAATGACTCTTCCAGCTCCATTTGCAATGGACATAAAAAAAAAGTCCAAATTCATTTTAATTAAATAAATCAACTAAAACTAAACTTCCCGATCCTCCCTCGTGCAACAGGAAAGACCTACAGGCTTCGCGTGTGCAATGTGGGTTTGCAAAACTCGCTCAACTTCCGCATTCAAAGCCACAAGATGAAAGTTGTCGAGGTTGAAGGCACCCACACTGTCCAGGTCAGCTACTCGTCTCTCGACATTCACTTGGGCCAATGCATGTCCGTCCTCGTCACAGCCGATCAGCAGCCCAAGGACTATGTCTTCCTCGTCTCATCCCGTTTCACCAATCCAGTCCTTACGACAAGGGGTTTCCTCCGTTATGCTGGCTCAAGTGGGCCTTCGTCCGATCCCTTGCCCGGTGGGCCCACCACTCAAATCGATTGGTCCCTCAACCAGGCCCGTTCCATAAGGTATATATGTTTTTCAGTGTCTTTATAGCCATGTAGCAAATGCAAAGACAGAAATATAACCATTTTTTGAATGCCTTGTGAAATGACCAAATTACCCTTATTATCAGAAATCGTGTTTGTGGAAATTAGGGATCCCAGAAATGGTTTCTAAGTTCCGCGAAATTGAATATGAATCAACTAGTTCTTAATTTGTTTTTTTAAATCATAGTTAATTTTGAAAAAAAGGTGGGTATAGTTAAAAAAAATTGTCAGTGTGATACATTAAAATAATATTTAAGATGAAATAATTGAAGTTGATTTGATATAAAAGTAGGAGAAAAATGATTGGAAGTGATGGTTAACTAGTTAAAATTACGTGAATGGATGAATAGTGAATTAAAATTGATGTAATGTGTAAAAATGATTGATTGATATTATTTAATTATATTAATAATATTGGAGATAGCGGGGTTTGGTTAAAGTTGAGTTAAATTTGAGTTTTGATTGTTTTTTTCTTTTTTAATTGAATTGATAAACAATCACTCCCTAAAATCCTTCCTTATGTGACACAGGACTAATCTCACGGCTAGCGGGCCCCGACCCAACCCTCAGGGCTCGTACCACTATGGGATGATCAACACTTCACGGACAATCCGGATCGCCAGCTCAGCTGGTCAGGTCAACGGAAAGCAACGGTACGCGCTTAATAGCGTGTCCTTCAGGCCAGCCGATACCCCTTTGAAACTCGCGGACTATTTCAAAATAGACGGGGTTTTTCGTGTGGGGAGCATGCCCGATTCCCCCAATGGTGGAGGAATCTACCTGGACACGTCTGTACTTGGAACCGACTACAGAACTTTCATCGAGATCGTGTTTGAGAATCCGGAGGATATTGTGCAGAGCTACCACCTAAGTGGATATTCCTTCTTTGTTGTAGGGTGAGCATGCATTCATATGGAGTTCATGTTAATAATTCCACCTTTTTTTTTTTTTGGTTATTTGGTTGCTAATGTGTTTTGAATTTTTGTTTTCTAAAAATCAGAATGGATGGAGGGCAGTGGACCCAAGCGAGTAGGAACGAGTACAATCTTCGTGATGCTGTGTCTCGTTGCACGGTTCAGGTTAGATTCACTTGCATTAATCGCAATTATTTATATATTTCTCCATAAGCTGTTCCTTCATATTTCGGTTAAACAGAAATAGTTGTCAATGAAAATGTATCATGCTTTTTAGAGATAAAGTGGTTGATTTTCTGATTATTAGGCTAACCTTGATGGTTAGTTTTCTACTTGTACATAATTATAAACTTAAGCCTTTTATTGTGGGGAGAGGTTCTTGAATTGAAANCCAAAAAAGAAGAAAAAAAAAAAAAAGAGATCATGATTCTCTGGGAAGTACTTTGAAAGAAAACCGGCCGACTATATAACTAGAAAAAAAACCTCGAGAAAATTAATTTTAGAAGGCAATTTAAGAGACGTTCTTGAATTTCAAACAAAGTGACCCTTTTTCTTTTGGTAATAAAATGCAGGTTTACCCCAATTCTTGGACAGCCATCTACATACCACTCGACAATGTGGGCATGTGGAACTTAAGGTCCGAGTATTGGGCCCGTCAGTATTTGGGCCAGCAAACTTATATGAGGGTCTTCACAAGCTCAACCTCGTTGAGAGACGAGTTTCCCATTCCAAAGAATGCACTTCTTTGTGGGCGGGCGAGTGGGAGGCGCACGCGCCCCTTGTGAAACTAGCTATTAGCTTATATCATAAGACTTTCGATGAGGATTTGAGGGATTCATACTAAAGGGGAATTAGATTTGTTACGATATTTGTTGTTGTTTTATTACGATTGTTTTGATTCTTGGGGGGGTGCTAATTTGGCACCTATTTCGAACATCATTTGATGAGGTGCATATGTAATAGTAGTAGTTGATGTTTATGGGGGTTTATTGACCTTAGCTCAAGGTCGCATTCTAAAGCCATGTTTTTGCTGTATCTTCTTCTTTGATTATTACTATTGATAAGTTCTTTTAAAGTTTACTTAGTATGGAACGTGAAGCGGTTTCTTATTTAATGTTTCTCTTGTAAATTAGTCCATTACTTTTTTTGGAAGTTCTCATTTCTTCAACTCTCGAAAAATTCGAATTTTGTATTGAGTTTTGGAAGCTCTTCCACTGGGGAAAACGAAAAAATCTAATTTCGTGTCACACACGTGTTGAAGAAGTAGACGATCAAAACTTAACTCCTAATTCAGATTAATGTATCTCTTGTAAATTAGTCCAACACTTTTTTGGAAGTTCTCATTTCTTCAACTCTTAGAAAATTCGAATTTTGTATTGAGTTTTGGAAGCTCTCATTTCTTAAATTCTCACAACCCTTTCACTGGGGAAAATGAAAAACTCTAATTTCGTGTTACACACGTGTTGAAGAAGTAGACGATCAAAACGTAACTCCTAATTCAGATTAATGTTTCTCTTGTAAATTAGTTCAATACTTTTTTGGAAGTTCTCATTTCATCAACTCTCGGAAAATTCGAATTTCGTATTGAGTTTTGGAAGCTCTCATTTCTTAAATTATCACAGCCTTTTCACTGGGGAAAACGAAAAACTCAATTTCGTGTCACACACGCGTTGAAGAAGTAGACGATCAAAACTTAACTCCTAATTCAGATTAATGTATCTCTTGTAAATTAGTCCAACACTTTTTTGGAAGTTCTCAGTTCTTCAACTCTTGGAAAATTCGAATTTTGTATTGAGTTTTGGAAGCTCTCATTTCTTAAATTCTCACACTGGGGAAAACGAAAAACTCTAATTTCGTGTTACACACGTGTTGAAGAAGTAGACGATCAAAACTTAACTCCTAATTCAGATTAATGTTTCTCTTGTAAATTAGTCCAATACTTTTTTGGAAGTTCTCATTTCATCAACTCTCGAAAAATTCGAATTTTGTATTGAGTTTTGGAAGCTCTCATTTCTTAAATTATCACGGCCTTTTCACTAGGGAAAACGAAAAACTCAATTTCGTGTCACACACGCGTTGAAGAAGTAGACGATCAAAACTTAACTCGTAATTCAGAGCATCCTCAATGTGGAACCGTCCATACTTAAAAATATTTGCCACATAGCATAAAATGAATGGAACTGTCAACATGGAATTATTTGGAAAGAGACTAAGACTCTTTGTAACTTCCAATGCACCATATTTGTATTCAATGTCTTGACCATGTAAACAACCAAATAACTAAATTTTGGCTCGGTTTTCAACAACCATTGTGATAGAATTGATTGACTTGGTTTTATTATATCATCTCATCAACATCATTTTTTTTCACAAAAAAAAAAAAATAAAAAATAGCAAGTTTGTTTTGCATTGAGCATTATAAATACCATTAATCAACACATTAATCAACACATTCCAAGCATCCTTTCAAACAGTTTTCTCTTCCTCTTTTGCTCTTTCAACTTCATTATAAACATTTTTTCTTTCAACTTTTGAGCTCTCTTTTTAATTCTAGTTCCTTTTGCATTAGTTCCCCCAGTAGCTGTAGTTCTTTTGCATCTTTTGTTTTTTCCATCTCCAAAGTTGCTTGATTAATGCTAACTTGTTTCTCTAATGTGCAATGCAACTTGCTCAATGCATCGACCACACCTTTTTCCTCATTCAATTTTCTCTTCCTCTCTTTACAGACTTTTCTTCCTTGTGGGCGCTCAACGCCATCAACTTTGGTACAATCAGAAAGAAGATCACGATCATTAATGTTACCTTCTAGCTGATTGACCATTGTTGTTTTGTTGTGCTCAACTCCTAATTTACATCCTGTAGCCTCCGTCTTTGTAAGCTTTTTCGAACACCATTTAGAGTGTGCTTGGATACAAATTAGTTAAAAAAAAAATCCAGATTTGCACTGTTCATATCCGAAAATGATTTCAAAGAAATCTGTTATCTATCTGCATCTTATGTGGGGCCCGCCATTTTGGGTCTACCACCAAATCCTTTTCAACTTAATAATATCAAAATAATTTTAGAATCGGTCCCGCCATTTTGGATCTATCGTCATTATTTTTGGGTTTCAAACCGAAAAAAACGTTGTACCATAAGAAAAAAGCGAAAAAACGAAAATCATACGACTAGCATAGTCATATATATTAGCATAATATTATTATGTTCGATATTTAAAAAAAAAGTAAATAACCGGGCGAAACATGAAATCAATTCTCACATTATTTTTTTTTTTAAAAAATAACCGGGCGAAACATGAAATCAATTATGCATTACAGGCCTAGAATTTTGACAATGGCTACACAACAGAAAAGTCCCAGAACAAAAAATAAAAGTAAACAAGCTGAATCAGTAGTTGTTCGTCATTGGTTGCGTCCATGTGCCAGCGGTTTCAGAGTATTCTGTTGCATGTCCGCTGTCTGCAGTTGTTTGTGAAGAATTGCCGTGACCACTCCGGAATGTACTCTGACTTGGTTGTGAAGAATATTGACGATGAACATCGTCCGCCCAAATGAAACACTGGTGGCGTTGTTGCCGAGCAGTACATCGGAAAAAATACTTTCCGTAGTTTTTTTCAGTTTTAGCAATTAAAAGGATCATACGACCCTGCCCACAATAGCAGAAAGGAGCTTCCATATTAAAACTTTTTTTTCCTAGACTAGTTTTTTTTTTTACTGGTCTGATGTTTTGTGCAAGAAAAATCCCATAGCAAACTCCCATTTTATAGTATGAGTCTTCCCGCGTGTTGTAGCAAAATTTCCATTTTTTTTTTGTTAAGTTGAGTATGCAAAAGCCGGGAATCTCGCCTGCATCCCATTCTTTCAATTTGATTGGTCAAAGAAAGAGGGTAGGGCTGTTGTATTATCTTCCCAAAAAAAAGAGAAAAAAAATAAAATAAAATAAAACGCAGGCTTTTGTTCAGCATGGGCGCCATAGGGAGGGGCCTGAATTTTCAGATATTCGCAGCATGGTCGCGGTATGGACGTCCCTCAGTCCTGATTTTACACATCTTCTACAGCATGGTCTTCATGATAAATTATGGGCACAACTTTTGCTTTATTTATCACAAGTGGTAGCATGTGATTCCCAATCTCAATATGGGAAGTGACATGCGCAAGTCCTTTTTTTTAATTTTTTTTTCCGGAATGATAGAGATAACTATTAACTCAAGAAAAGGGAACATTGTTTAGGTACAAATCAAGACTATCGTAAATCAAAGACTGAGAGGACTCGCATGCAAGCGGCCTAGAACCTCAACAACTAGAACCAAAGAAATGAGACTAAGGAAATCTCCCCACTGCAATTAAGCCTAGGAAGCCTAAGAATCATCACAACAAAAAACCATCAATCTGCTAAACATAACCAAACTGCTAAAACAACAAACAACAAACTAAACACTGAAAGGAAAACAAACTAAACAGAGCAGCAGACAAAATAGATAACAACTAGACTAAAGCTGCAAGGCAGAGAGCTAGTAGCAGGTTGCTTCAATGAACTCCAGCCAGTCTTTATGAGCTATGTTGACAAGTTGGTGAGCTGGTATCTGAATATCTTGAAAGAGCCACAGGTTCCGGGATTTCCAGAGCCACCAAAGCATGTAGGTTGTAAGTTGAATCCTAGCTTCAGATGTCTCTGATTTATTGAGAGCACACATATCTAACCACCAGCCTCTAAAAGAAGTTGGAGGCTGCTGCAGATAATTCCAAGATACTAGAGCCAAATCCCACACTCTGCAAGCTTTAGGACAATGAAAAAGAACATGTTCAGTGGTCTCTGGCTTAGTTCCACAGGATTTGCAAATGACATCAATGTCTAATCCTTTCCTCCAGAACTTTGTTTTTACAGGTAGAGTGCCATTTAAACACTTCCAAATGAACTGCTTAAGTTTACCTGCAATTTTCAATTTCCAGCATCTAGAAAGGCTTGCACAATTGCTACCTGATGAAGAGCTGCAACCAGGGATGTCTAAAGCTAGCAGCATCTGATTTAAGAGGAAGGCATATGTGCTTGCAATAGAGAAAAGCCCTTTTTTATCCAACTTCCAGTACTGCCTGTTAGGGTAACCTGGTTTGAGTGAGTTGATAAAGAGAATGGCAGAGCTATCCTCTGGATCAAAGACTTGGTTGACCAACCATGAATTCCACCCTGTGCCAGAGTTATTAAAAGGTCCTTGACCCAAATTAGATGATCTCTGGCCAGCTCCATTAACTCTGGCTTGGGTTTAGGCAGATTAGGCACCCAATTCACATAAGCTATCCTTGTAGTTTCTCCATTTCTCATCTCCACAGCAAAGCCTTTTGCAAAGATAGGCACCACTTCAAGCCAGTTAGACCACAACCATGAGCAGTTATGAGATTTTGTGGCTTCAAAAATAGAGCAATGAGGGTAGTATCTGTCTTTAAGGATCCTACTGACCAGCAAATCAGGATTTGAGATGATCCTCCAGAGTTGTTTGCATATGAGTGCTGTGTTGAAGAGTTTTACGTCCAGAAAATCTAGCCCTCCCTTGTCCCTAGGCAATGACATGGATGCCCAGGATTTCCAGTGTATACCCTTAGAATGTCCTTCTCCCTTCTTCCACCAGAAGTGATAGAATAGTTTAGAGATTTGAGTACACACAGAAGCAGGCAGTCTGAAGCAAGACATGGAGAACACTGGCAATGCTTGAATGACAGATTTTATAAGAACTTCTTTTCCAACAGGAGTTAGAAATTTAGTCCTCCAGTTCTCTATTCTAGTCTTCACAGTATCAAGTACAAAGTCAAAAGCCTCTACTTTAGATCTACCAATGCCCAAAAGAAGACCTAAGTACCTGGTGGACCTGTGGGGTGTAATGCCATGTAAAGTTGAGCAAATGCTGTCCTGAAGGGTCTGGGGAGTGTTCCTGCTGAAGAAGATGGCTGACTTTTGCAGGTTGACCTTTTGCCCAGAGAAAAGTTTGTATCTGTCTAGAATAGTAAGGAGAGTTGCAGCTTGATCCACACTAGCCTTGCAGAAAAAGATGGAGTCATCTGCAAATAGCAAGTGGGATAGAGGTGGACCATTTTTGGATAGTTTAATACCCTGAATGCAACCATCATTTGAGGAGGCAGTCACTAATGCAGAAATCAACTCAGCAATGATAATGAAATGGTAGGGGGACAAAGGGTCCCCTTGCCTTATACCTCTGGAAGGATGCACATAACCACTGACAGTGCCATTAACATTGAAGGAGTAGGTGTAGAAGGATACACAAATCATGATGAGGTGAAATTTTTTTTGATCAAAACCCATTTTTAACATTGTCTTCTTAAGGCATGACCATTCTACTCGGTCAAATGCTTTCATTAAGTCCAATTTCAGAGCCATGAAGAAATTCTTCCCAGAAGAGTGTCTGTTTAAGAAATGGAAAGCCTCTTGGACAATGATTACATTGTCTAGTAATTGCCTCCCCTTGATGAAAGCAGACTGATAATCACTCACACAAGCATGCAGACAAACTTTGAGTCTCAGGGCAAGGATCTTTGATAAGATTTTGTACACAACTGTGCACAAACTAATTGGCCTGAATTGAGAGAGATTTCCAGGATTCAAAGTTTTAGGAACCAGAGATATGATGGTGTGGTTCCGGTATTTGAGGAGCATTCCATTATCAAAGAAACTATATAAAGCAGCACACAGATCAAGTTTGACTATATGCCAGAACTTTTGAAAGAACAAGGCAGACATACTATCTTCACCAGGTGTCTTTTCTGGGCTGAGACTGAATAGAGCTTCCTTTATTTCATCATCACTGACTGGCTTGAGCAAAGTCTGGTTCATGCTTGAGGTGATGGTTTGTGGTATATGGTGAAGAATGGAGTCACATCCCTAAGCACCATCTGAAGAAAAGAGAGATGAATAGAACTCTGCAATGTGGTCTTGTATTTCTTTCTGAGAGGAGCATTCTCTATTCTGATCTGTGACCAATCTGCAAATGACATTCTGTCTCCTTCTCATCATCACATATGCATGGAAAAATTTTGTATTCCCATCACCTGCCTTTAACCATTGGAGCTTGGCCTTTTGTTGCCAGAAAGTCTCTGCAGCTTGATGTGCATTTTCTAACTCAGATTTGGTGGCCACCCATGAGTCCCAATTGTTTGCCAAGTTATTGTCTTTGAGGATTGCAAGCTTAGCTATTAAGTGCTCAATATTGGACTGGTTTTGGGATTTAAAATTTGCACTACAAATGATGAGGGCTTCCTTGGTACACTTGATTTTCTCTTTTAACTAGAAGAATGGGGTGCCTGAGTGCATAGAGTTCCAAGCTGTGCCTATTACCTCTGCACTATCTGGCTTGAGTAGCCATCTTTTGTCAAAATGAAACCGGTGCTTTATTCTTTCTGTTCTCCAGAATTAAGAAGTAACATTGAGTGGTCAGATGCACTTTTGATCAGGTTTGAAATGAAAGCATTGGGGAAAGATGTAAGCCATTCAACAGAACCAAACCCTCTATCCAATTTTTCTTCAATGATCTCTTCATTTGATCTGTTGTTGCACCAAGTATACTGATAGCCAATAATCCTGATTTCCTTCATAGACATATTGTTGATAAACTCATTGAACCCAACTAAGCTCCTAGCAGTTCTGAGATTACCTCCAAGATTTTCATCACTGGCACAGATATCATTCCAATCCCCCATAATAAACCATTTATCACCCCAATTGTGTTTATCAGATTCAAGTTTCCTCCATTGATCAGCCCTTGTATGGAAGCAGGTGCTAAGGTAAACAAAAATGCCCCAAGAGGAGCTGCTATTTTGAGTAGAGAATTCAACTGCAATGTAGAAATCAGTGGATATACTTTGCAGAATGTGAACCCCAGAATTTCACATAAGCAGCAGTCCACCACTAATGCCTAAAGGATCAACTAAAATTGATCTGCCTTCAAA